GAGATGAAGTTGAAAGGATACAAGTCAGTTTCTTGTGAGGCTGTTGTATGTTGTAAGGCATTTGAGATATGTTTTTCTTTTCTTTTTCTTTTTTTGAGCTTGAGTTGTTTTATGAGGGGACCTTGGCAGCTTTGATTTTTAAGGCAGGTTAATGCTGTGATCAGGCAGGTACTTCAGGATAATACTCTATTCTATTGGGAAAGAAAGCTATTTAGAGGGACACTGTAGGTGAGTTAGCTGGGAAGCTACATCAGACTTAAATAGTATTTCATAATAAGGATGGAGGTAAGGTTATAGGATTTGAGGACTTGAAATGTGGGACCCTGGCATTGAATGAGTAGTTCTCTTCCATTTTTATAATCTGAATTTCTTGTGGCTAAGCAATTGTGGTATATTTACTGTGTGTTAGAAGCATGAAGCTATGTACCATGATCCACCATGTTTATTCCTGTAGCAAAATACATGAGTAGACACACTAAGTAGGATAAATAAAGACTATAAATAGCCTCACATTAGATCAGATCAGATTTCGCAAGTGAAACTGGGTGAGATTTTACTGCCCAATGAGTTTAGGGAACTGTTTTACAACACTTGCTTTTTTTTGAATTATAATTGAGGGATTTTGTGGATATGTGTAGCATCTTCCTCCACACTAAAACCAGTTTTTAGGTGATACATATATGTGAATGTTGGGGGTTCTAGCACAGCAAATGGGCAGAGTTGGTGGAGCCGGTCCCTGTCGGTGTACAGCTTTAAGCTGAAGGGGTATGACAGATGTTGGGCAACTGGTTGCAGTGGCACTGCTGATTTTGAAAGGGAGCTGGGCTCACATTGTCCAAAAGCATTGAGAGCAATATATTGGCAGATGCAGTTTAGAACTGTCAGATAGATGAAGAGGAGAAGCCAACTGGGTGGGCAGTCACTTGTGAAGGCTTTGAGGGTAGGAAAAGGACCCAAAGTGAATCTAGTAGATTGGAACAGTGAAATGAGCGACTGGCTAACATTATTGTTGTTCAATCCCGTCTTTCATTCGTCACAACTCAATGAGGTATTCTGATTTTGATATTAGACATTAGAAAATTGAGCCTGAGAGGTGGAGAAACACAGGTGATGGTGTTCTTTGCCTTTGAGCTGTCTGCCTTGCCTTTGTGATTGCTGTCCCTTCCTGATGGGTAGCCAGAGCAGGTCTCTGAGCAGTGCCCCGTAGAGGAGTGGGTTGGCTTTGCTGGCCAAGGCCTTAGTTTAGCCATTCTTGAACATAATAACCAAGCACTTATGTTTGAGTATGTGTATATTCTGTTAACTTACAAATAGAACTGAGGATCCTGCCCTCAAGAATATATAGATGAATAGGAGCACAGTGGCACTGGGTCTTTGTGGAGAAGCATGTGGGGTCTAGGAATAGGCCATCTTCTTTTATTGCAAAAGAACCAAATTCTCTTTGAGAATTGATGCAAAATGGCCATAGGGTGGAGAATAAAGGCTTGAGGGCTAAGGTGAAGGCTGAGACTGGAATAGGGCAGATTTTCCTGTGGACAGCCAACCCCTCTTGATGTTTACAGACTTACTAAATCCTTTTATTTGCATGGCTTGAAGGCCTCTGGTAGTGGGTGTGTTCTACCTAATTCTAAAGTCTAAATAATGAAAAGTAAGCACTTCTTTTTTTTTTAACATATTTTTATTGAGAAACAAATAGCAATGAGACAGTTTCAAATCAAATTGGTAGGACAATTCCAATAATTAACATATTGCATACTCTCTTCCTAGTGGTTATTTGCCGCACAAGATGCAGACATGATATACTATTTACAAACACTATTAGAACAAATCCCTCTATTCATTAAGAGAATGTAACTATATATCTATCTTGAATACACAGATACAAAATGGACATTCATCTGTAACCCCTTTTTTGTTTAGTTCCATCATTTGAATATTATAGATGTGTTAACTCAGCACTTCTGAAAGGTATAGAAGTAATCTGATGGGTAGAGAAGAAGCTGTTTAGAGAAGCTGTTGGAAGCTGCTGGTTCTCTTGGGTTACTCTGCTGGAGGACCTTGTCATGCTGCTTGTCTGATGAACTTCACTGTTCTTGTCAGAAGAGGAGCTCAGGACCTCGTTGCTGACAATGGCTGCAGCTCATTTTAGGGGAGCTCTGGTCCTCATGCTAAGCACTGTTTCCTGACTCCAGAGGAAAAGATAGTGCACAGTTCACCTTCCTAGAGAAGCTTGTCACATCGGCTTTCCTGATGGGAGCTCAGCTTTCCTCATCACTGGAAGAGCTTGTTACCTCACCATTGCTGAGGATAACTGTGGTACTTTTGGGGGGAGCTCTGGTTCCTACCTTAAGCATTGCTTCCTAGCTCCAGTTCAGATCTCTCAGCCTGCTAGCACAGATTCTCCATCTTGCTGGCACAGACATTCTAGCTTCCATCACTGACCTTTGGGCCTTCCCAGTGCAGATCTGCGAAGTGGGCATGCATGAGACATTGTCATGGGCTCTAGGCCTCCATTTGGACTTGTGGGAAACATTGTTATGAGCTCTAGGTTTTCAGCTGGACTCATAGGATATTAGGATCTAGGTCCTTAACTATTAGGATTCTTTGGTCTTTAATGTGTGGACAGATTTCCTGCACTGTTGTATGTGATTCTTTGGGTAATTATAAAATAGTATTATACAGTGTGTTCTGTATTGTATTATTCCCCTTGCAAAAACTCCAAACCACAACATAGTCTTAAGTTTTCTGAGAAGGAATTGGGGATGGTTGGATTGCAGCAGGAAGACAGGTGGAAGTGGAACAGGCAGGAATTAGGGTCCTCTTTAAGAGGGAGACAGAAGCCAGGTCCCTATTCAAAATAAGCCCTTTCATACCAGTCCTGTTAGCTTGAGACCTCAGGTCTACAGAGATCAGATATGGAACCCACCCAAGGTTTGGGCTTGCATAGGGGACTAGGCTATAAACCAGAGGGTAACTTAAAAAGCAGTTGGAACAAGAGAATACATACTTGAAGCTTTGGGGTGTGTGCAGTTGAGACCAGAATTAGGAAGGCCTGGGAGTTATGCGGTTTGGAATGGCAGCTGTCTGGCAGAGTGTTTTAGATGCTTTCAAGTAATGGCAGTGTAAAGTGTTGGGGCCATGCCTTTTTCTTGTTGGTTGTGTTTTCTTGTCCTTTTTAAGAGTCTAGCAGAGAAAAGGTATGCAATACATGTTGTGAAATCATTAAATTCAAGGCAAACATCTCAGTTCTCCTTGCTTGATCTGTGTGCCCAGCTAGGGCCATTTTGATGGGTGAAGCTATTAAGAATTATAGGCCATTCCCCATACTTTTTTTTTTTTTTTAAAGAAATTGTATTTGAAAATAGTTTCAAATTTTAAGAAAGTTGCAAGAATAAAAATGGTGTAAGAAATATGTATTTTCTTTATTGAGAGTCATCTGTTAATCAACATGTTGCATTTATTCTCTCTACTGTGCACGCGCGCGCACACACACACACACACACACACACACATTTTTGTTTGGGACTATTTGAAGATACCTGTCATGGCCCTTAAGCACTTCAGTGTCTGTTTCCTAAGAATGGAGGTATACTCAGGTGATACAAGAATTATCAGTCAATTTATACTAACACTTTAAGCTACTGTCTGTGTTCCTGTTTTGTCATGTTACTCAACATCTTAAGAAAGTCTTATTGTGGTATAATTGATGTACAATAAATTACACATTTTAAAGATGAAATTTAGTTTTGACCTGTATGTATCTGTGAAATTCACTGCAATCAGTATAATAAACATACACCCTCCCCAAAGTTTCTATTTAATGCCCCTTATAGTAGTCTTTTTTAATAGATTTAGATTTCTCATCCACTAGGATATTATCCTTGTGTATGGGTCTAATTGTTTTTCCAGATGGGTATATAATTATTATAACTTAATAAGACCTTTTCTGCAATAATTAAAAATATCATATACTAGACATAAATGTGTAATTCATCTATTTCTGGAGTCTTCGGTTCCTTTTGGTAGTCTGTTTACTTATCTGTACCAATTTTAATTACAGAGGGTTAATAATATGTGCTATCTTAGTATCTGGTCATACTAGTCCATTTTTACAATTCCTTTTTTAAAAATTTTCTTATATAGTCTTATGTTTTCAATATTTATGTGTATTTATGAGTTTGTCTAGAGCCATAAAAAAGCATTTTGTTTAGATTTTTGATAATGCTGTAATGTCCTAAAAACAATTTATTTGTAAATAAATTTATTTGTAAATATTTTATCATTTTCAGATTTTGTAACAGCTTTTCTTACCCATTATATAGCTATGAAGGCTATTGATCTTTGTATGTTTTTGCATCTTGCTCCCTTGCCCACTTCTTTATTTGGTTCAGTTTTGTCATTTGCTTCAGTTATTTGGTTTAGTTTTTGAGCATATTTTTGCATCACTAGCAAATAGAGATAGCTTTACATTTTTGTTCCTTTAGCGTAGCCCAATTGCATTGGCAGATGCCACCAAAGGAATTTTAGTAGCCCAGTTCATTGGCAGCTGACTATTCCTGATGGTCATGAGAATGCCTCAAATACTTTCTTAATAAGTGAGGTGTGATAATTGATTTTTAAATGCATGCTCTGAAGGCAATTTTATGTGAGGATTTGGGAGATAAGTTCACTTTTCTCTCTTATGCCAAAGCTCTGGACAGTGAAAGTGAAATCCGTCAGATTGGGAAAGGAGAGTTCAGGTTCTTTTGCTTTCTCCTTTCCACTATCATCACTCTCTACCTCCCCCCTAAACATTACTGTTTTTCTGAGTAGTATTTTGAGTACTGAGGCCTGATGTTCTAAGATTAGGGTAGTCCTCACTAAGAGACCTCGAGTCAGCCTCTACTTCCTATTCCCTTACTTTTTCACCTCTTTATGCCCTCTATATTCCTATACCCCATGGAAGTGTGAAGCCACATGCCTTTATAATAATAGTTACTCTTTCTCCTTTTTCTCTTTAGGTGTATAATCTAAATAGCCCAGAGGAGGATCTCTAGAAGGCAACCCAAGGGCAGCCTTGAGCCCTCCCTTGCCCGCCCTCCCTGGTGGGGGCCAGGATGCTGAAGAAGCAGTCTGCAGGGCTTGTGCTGTGGGGAGCTATCCTCTTTGTGGCCTGGAATGCCCTGTTGCTTCTCTTCTTCTGGACACGCCCAGCACCTGGCCGGCCACACTTAGACAATTCTCTGGATGACGACCCTGCCACCCTTACCCGCGAGGTGATCCGCCTGGCTCAGGATGCTGAGGTGGAGTTGGAGCGTCAGCGGGGGCTGTTGCAGGAGATCAGGGAGCATCATGCTCTATGGAGCCAGCGGTGGAAGGTGCCCACTGTAGCTCCTCCTGCTCAGCCTCGTGTGCCCGTGACCCCGTCGCCAGCTGTGATCCCCATCTTAGTCATTGCCTGTGACCGTAGCACTGTCCGACGTTGCTTGGACAAACTGCTGCATTATCGGCCCTCAGCTGAACACTTCCCTATTATCGTCAGCCAGGACTGTGGGCACGAGGAAACAGCCCAGGTCATTGCTTCCTATGGCAGCGCCATCACACACATCCGGCAGCCTGACCTGAGCAACATTGCTGTGCAGCCTGACCACCGCAAGTTCCAGGGCTACTATAAGATTGCCAGACACTATCGCTGGGCACTGGGTCAGATCTTCCATGAGTTTAAGTTCCCAGCTGCTGTAGTGGTGGAAGATGATCTAGAAGTGGCGCCAGACTTCTTTGAGTACTTCCAGGCCACTTACCCACTGCTGAGGAATGACCCCTCTCTTTGGTGTGTGTCTGCCTGGAATGACAACGGCAAGGAGCAGATGGTAGACTTGAGCAAGCCAGATCTGCTCTATCGCACAGACTTTTTTCCTGGCCTGGGCTGGCTGCTGTTGGCTGAACTGTGGGCTGAGCTGGAGCCCAAGTGGCCCAAGGCCTTCTGGGATGACTGGATGCGCCGGCCTGAGCAACGAAAGGGGCGAGCCTGTGTGCGTCCTGAGATCTCAAGAACAATGACCTTTGGCCGCAAGGGTGTGAGCCATGGGCAGTTCTTTGACCAGCATCTCAAGTTCATCAAGCTGAACCAGCAGTTTGTGCCCTTCACCCAGCTGGACCTGTCATACCTGCAGCGGGAGGCCTATGACCGTGATTTCCTTGCCCGCGTCTATGGTGCTCCCCAGCTACAGGTGGAAAAAGTGAGGACCAATGACCGGAAGGAGCTGGGGGAGGTGCGGGTGCAGTATACAAGTAGGGACAGTTTTAAGGCCTTCGCCAAGGCCCTGGGGGTCATGGATGATCTCAAGTCAGGTGTTCCCCGGGCCGGCTACCGAGGCATTGTCACCTTCCATTTCCGGGGCCGTCGCGTCCATCTGGCGCCCCCACAGACCTGGGATGGTTATGATCCTAGTTGGAATTAACAGCATCTGCCTGTCCCTCTGGGGTCTCCTCCTTGCCATGCCATGAGCTGTGATGGGACTGCAGTCCCTGGGCTGCGTCGTCCTGTCTGTATTGCCCTTTTGGGTCCATTTATCTTTTGGTTTTTCCTTTGTGTTTTCTTTTGAGTGGCATTCAAGTGCACAGATGTTAAGATGAAGATTATTCTCCCGTTCTCAAGGGAGTCAGAGGAGAAGGGTCATTCTGAGGTGTGTTGAGAGGTATTATTGTACAAGAAACCACTGTGTGGTAGGAGACGTGGGCTTATTGGGGCCAAGAATGTCTACATCCTGAGTTTTCTCCTGTGGTCTCTGCAGACAGGTTGGCAACTTCAGCTTTCTTGATCAGGCCTCTTCTGTGATTTGGCTCTTCCAGCCAGGCTGTGAGCCTCCTCCTGTCTTTTCTTTTACCACCTTGCACCAACGTGGGGCTGGGTTATGGGAAAAGAGGATTATCTGTGGCCAAAATGAAACTAAACAAAGGAGTTTCACTGCAGGGTCAAGGTAGAGTTGATGGGTGCCAGGGTTTACTGTCTCCTGCCCTTCTCATCACTGATCTGCTCTCAGCTCTTATTTCCCTACAGTCTAGTACTTGATAGTTCAGAGATGAAACATGGAGGAGGAAAAGCAAGATATCCCCCTTGGCTCATGCCCATTTGTCAGCAGAGAGGTGGTAGGAGCAAAGAGGTGGATATTCCCCATCTATTGCTTGCCTCAAAGAAATACTATTACTAGACTCCCTCCTTTCTAAAAAAATCAGCCTCCCTGTTTTAGGAGGACTCCGTGCTGGCGCGAAGACAGTTGAGCTCCCCTGTCTCTTTCTCCCCTAGGGTTTGGTGCTCAGACCTTTCCCTGAGGACTGCGGCTTCAAGTGGCCTTCTCAGCCTAAGCTAGAGTAGCTGAGATCAGGACAGTTCTGGCCCTGGAACAGACCCTGCATATTCCCATGTCCTCACAGGCTAGGAAATGGCAGGTCCAAGAGGGATTTAAGTGTTTTTATTGCCTGAACTCAGTTTCGCAGAACAAAGTGGAATCTACAGAATTATTTTCAAAAATAAAGACTGAATTGTCTGAAAACATTTGTGTGTATGTGTGTTCTGTGTATGTATCCTGGGAAAGGAGGTGAAAGGGTTTTAAAAAACACAGAAAGGCTGAAAAGGAAGTAGATAACTTGAAGGAAAGCAGATGACTGGGAATAAGAACTGAAGGGAAAGAGGCCCCAGGACAGCTGAGGAGGGATCTGGATAGGAAAGAGAGAGCAGTTTTGGTGGTAGAGGTGGAGCTACAGGCTGCATTCTCACCCCTAACCACTAGAGCTGGGATATGAAGCCCTCAGCAGATTGGTTGCCACAGCACAGGCCTACTCTGAGGGTGTCAGGGCATGTGAATCCTGAGGGACTGCTCTGTACTGGGCACCCTCTGCAGCTCAAGCAGCATTTCCTGGCCATCTCCCTGAGGGAGCTCTAGGATGTGAAGTGGGTGCCTGACAGTAGGCTATATGGTGGCACTTATGCTTCTGATAGTCCAATAAGAGTGCATTTTACACTGACACCAAGAATGCAGCACACTTAAATGTTACCTATATCACAGCTAATATAGTCTTAATTTCTGTTCTCCATTGATTCATCTAAAAACATTGTGACCCTCCAGCTTGATTTATTAGTTTGAAAACCTCAGAATTTAGTGACTAACAACAGGAAATGGGAGCTTCACACTTGGTATTGGCAAAGATCTCTGCTGAGCCCTGGCTGGAAGGAAAGGGTTGGGCCCATAGCCACTTAGGGGCCTTGGCTTCTGGGCTCAAGAATGCATACTGAAACATGGAACTAGTGTCAGACATTTTAATCTAGATTGGAGCCAATTTTGTCTTCCCTTCCTGCTTACCCATGGGCTATTTAATCTTAGTTTTGGTTAGGAAAAATGACCATTATGATTTGCAGTTATAGAAACAGGCCTAGATAGGAGCCACATCATTCCTAACAATTGAGCAGAGTATTTGGGTGGTCCATAAATATATTGCTGTCCAAAAGTTCTTGAGTGCTCCATGAGTATAGTTTACTAATTTACTTCATCCTCAGAGCAACCCTAGATTATAAATGCTGTTCTGCCTGTTTACTGGTGAGGAAACAAATTAATTTGCTGAAGGTCACACAGGTGGCTGAGGCAGGCTGGGATTTGGAGCCCGTGCCATCAATCACTGATGCTGAACCATTCCATTCTAACCTTCACGACGTCCCTAGTTCCCCTCTCCAGCCTGATTTGTGTTCTCAGGCTTCTAGATAACAGGTAGTGTTGAACTCTGAGGCCAACCAGTTGGTTGTCCTGGGTGGTGAGTCAGAGGGCTGTCTAGGAAAGATATGGAAGGAAAAAGGAAGACGAAGAGTTTGAGGCCCTTTAAGGCCGGAAATAAACTGCGTTGACCACGTGGTTCCTCAGATATCTCTGAAATCAGTGTCTTGTGAGGTCTCTTGGTATTGTTTATCTTGATGCATATCCCTAGAGAAGCCAAACTTGCTTCATCAAATGGCCCTGGCCTCTGTTTCATGTGTGGAACAGTTGGATGCATCCTGAAAATCCTAATGCTCCTAGGATACCCAAGGAAATAGAAGTGCTAAATAGAAAAGCATGTATTGTTCAAATGCTGTAAAATACTGCTTATTTAAAATTCAGAAATTTAAAGATCGTTCCCAGACCATATCCCCTGATCTCTGCCTTGATGGTTCTGCTATGTTTCTGCATTTGCTTCTCTCTGTGATTCCTACTGTTTTACTGGTCTCCTGCTGTCCCTCCTCTCTTAGTAATCGCTTCAGGACAGCTATTTCTGCCATCCACTTGTACCTTTCCCTTCACAAGGCTTGACGATCCCTTTGCTGTATTACTCTTTTAATGTGTAGGGTGGAGTCTGCCAAGCCTGTTAGCCTTCAGAGACTCCCACTAGACCCCAGTTCTAAGGTCAGATGAGGAAGGTTGAAATTATTTCAAGTGTTAGATAAAACCATCACTTTTATTTGTTCACTTTTCTTTATTATGTATTCATTTTTGGAAATCAAAACATAATGCAACATCCATAATTTAACACTCACTCATCTGTTTACACCTTAGTTGTATATTCTGCCACACTTATTTCTCACCTATAGAATGTTAATCAGTTTATGCATAAAGTTACGTGTTTACATAACAAGGTTATGTAACAAAGTTTATGCTCTTCCATATGTTTAATATGGGGTTTTAAGCTTTTGAATGGGATCTTTGTAGCGGTAAGTGGTGTGCCATTGGAGGGACTCTTGAACTTCCATCTTTGCTCTTGCTCACCCCTGTCTAGCCTGGGAAAGTCACAGAAAGTTTGTGCTTGGAAGCAGAGATCAGGAGTCCTTGCCAGTGGGCCAAGGGCCCTGGCTCCCATCCTGAGGCACAGATACCAGATCTGGTGGTTGAGCACGTGTAGTCTGTAAGCCCTACACTAGGCTCCCTGTCTATGTACTGTATCTGACTGAGTCAGCCGTTTGTACTGCTCAAGCCTTTTTCTGTGAGGCAGGACAATATCTCTTGAGGTGGCAAGGAAGATTCTCTAGTACAGTGGTGGTAAACCTATATGGCATGTGTGTTACTGTGTTTTTAAAGACAAAAATTGTTAAATAAGTTGTTTTCCAAACTAAAACGTCAGTGTTTAGGTTTAATTGCAGTGTTGGCACTTCAATCAGTAGGCTTTGGGTTGCAGCTCGCTTGCTCATCTGTCAAAAGTTTTACCATCATCACTCAAGAGTGTGAAAGCAGTGTGAACAGAGTCCGAGGGAAAGCTGTCTCCATTGCCCTCCTCTTTGTGGGCTTTACCTCGGCTTCCCCACACTCCCTTCCCACTCCCACATATGTCTGAAGGGAGCAGAGAGGAAGTCATGGAGATTGAGTAGAAAGGGGCCAAGCAGTAGTAGACTTTCCCGTACTGCCTGTCTTGGCTCACATAAAGTGGGGCTTTTTCTACTAGAACTATAGAAATGTTTGTCAGAATTAGATTCAACTGCATGTAGTAGTAGACTGTGAGAGGTTGGTTCAGGACTGGAATGGGGTTCCTGGTATCATCAAGGCCACAGCCTGCCTTGTGTCTCTCTTTAGCCTGAGGCTTCCATTCTAGGTGTCATTGCTTGACTGCTGGAGCTCCAGCCATCATGATTGCATTTGAAGTAGGAAGAAAGGAAAAGCGCGAAGGGTAGATTCTAGCTATCATCCCCTTTCCTAAAAGTCCACAGACAGTACCTGGTCATAGCTCCCTGCCCAACACCTGATTACACAGACAACCCTGAGCAAATGAGGCCAGAAAAGCAATTTTTCAGCCAAATTGATTGTCCAAACTAAGGTTTCTGTTATTAAGGAAAAAGAGAGTGACTGAGTGGCAACCACAGGGACCTCTACCACATGCTGGGCTTGGAAGACCAAACTTTTAACTGTACCAGGAAGGATTTGGAGAGTACAGGATGATGGGGGCACCAAAAGGAGATTAGGAATCCAGAGCTGGAGAAGAGCAGAATTAAATTTTATGAATTATGTGAGAAATATGTCCCATGGTGTCATATATGGCAGCCAAAATTCTTAAAAGCCATATACAACCTCAGAAATGCAGACTGATGGGAAGATGGACCAGTGGACTCCATCTTCCATTTTGACACTACCATTTTAAACACAGCTCCCAGTTCACAGATACTAATAGCCTGTGTACCTTCCAACCACTAGGAAGTAAAAAGGAAGAATGAAACAAATGTACATGTCATTTTTCCTCTTAATTTATTCATTAGAATTTAGTGTCATTCCCCCAGTTGTAGGGGAAGTTGGAAATAGAATCTCAGTGTGCCAGTTAAACCTTCTCTTACCAGGAAGAAAGGAAAGGAGGATTGGTTAGAGAGGTGGCCTTTTCTGAGTCTTGGTAATACCACAAAAATCTGTCAACTTTTCCTTTGAAATAATTTAATTTTTGAAGTTTCTATTTAAGAAATGGTAAGAACCCTAGGGGTCAGGGGTGACTGATGATGAGGCTTCTCCAGCAGCCCCCAATGCCTTCACTGAGGAAGGCAGCCAGCGTGCACTTCTGTGGGAGCACCTGCCTCAGTCCTGTGTGAAACTGCAGCAGAAGTGAAACTGTAAATTCTAAAGTTAGGTCCTAACCTAGGTTTCTAACCTGTAATCCCAGGCCTGCTGTCATCCCATCATTCTGGGACGTTGAGGTAGGAATATCGTAAATGCAAGCCTAGCCTGGGAAACTTAGCAAGAGCCTGTAACAAAAAAATAAAAACTGTAAAGATGCTGTTCCAACCTCCTGTACCAAAATAAAAACTATGAGTAAAATAAAATATGAATTCTAAAAAGACTATAGACATGTTTCAGTATACTTAAATATTCACTTTTATGTAAATGAAGTCTACGTTAGCTACAAAAAGATTTTTTTCTTTCATAAAATACTGGACACAGGCTCTTTATGAAGTAAGGAGTGGTTATTTTGGTTCACAATTATGAATATTCAAGTCCAAAATTGGGTGGTTCCATTGGTTTGGAGCCCTGGAGAATGGTGACACTTTATGGCATTGTATGTCAGAATGAGTGTTCACATAGCCACCAGGAAACAGGGAGGACAGGTATTGGTCCTACAATCTGTTTTGGGACCATTCCCATGAGGACCTTAGACCTTCCACAAAGTGCATCGCTTACATCTTTAAAATGGTTTCACTAAGCCTGTAACATATGGGCGTATGGAGGAATGCCATAATTAATCATAGCAAAAGGGGCTGTGACCTCTGCCTACTCTACTGAAACACTCACACTTGGAGACTACTCTGAAACTACCTCAGCAGAGAGGCCAGCTGGAAGGGTGAACATCTAGCACTGTCTGTCAGCCATGTAAGCGGAGCCATCTTGGATATTTAATCCTGTGGAGCTGTAAGATGTCCACAGGCCCAACCAACACTGGCTGCAACTACATGGAATACCCTGGCCAACAATAGCTGAGCCAAGCCCTGCCTGAGCTTCTGACCCACAAATAGCAAGATAAATGGTTATTATTAACTGCTAAATTTTGAGGTAATTTGATAAG